ACATGCCTCCCTCCTCCTATTTTCTCCATAACAACAATCCTGTGAGGTGGGTTGGGCTGCCCCAAAAAAGCCAATGTACTTCTAGGCTGCATCAAAAGACAGAGAGCATCAAGGTCGCTTTATAAGGCCTTAAGTAAGGCCACACTTGGAATAAGGCATCCAGTTTTACTCGCCACAATCTAAAAAAGATGTTGAGACTCTAGAAAGAATGCAGAGAAGAGCAACCAGGATGAGGAGGGGACTGGAGGCTGAAACATATAAAGAACGGTTGCAAGAATTGGGTATGTCTAGTTCAATGAAAAGAAGGACCAGGTGTAACTGGATAGCAGCCTTCCAGTATCTGAGGAAGTGTCCCAAAGGTGCTTTTCAAAAGACAACTGGGCTTTCTTATTTTTTATTTTTTTAAAAGTTTCGCTTCTCATCCATGAATGGAATGATTGAGTCTGTCATCTGCACCTCTATAACTGTCTGGTTTGGTTCTGCAACCCAACAGGACAGACACAGACTTCAGAGGGTAATTAGGACTGCAGAAAAAAACAACTGCTACCAACCTGCTTTGCATTGAAGACCAGGGAATTTAAGTCCTCTAGGCTTAAAGCTTTGCTGGCTGGGAGATTCTGGGAGTTGAAGTCCTCTAGGCTTAAAGCGGCCAAGGTTGGGGAGCCCTCTGGGCTAGTGCACTGCCCAGGTTTGTCCTTGATTTAGTTGAGGATAAATGGGGACCTTCCTTTCCCTTCCCAGGTTGGGCGAGCCAAGCTATCACATGAAGCCACAATACGGTTTTATTGGTTTGGAAATTGCAATGTTACATAAATACAGCCATTTATTAACGCAAGTTTAGGATGGAGCAGCCGATTGTGCAAAACCCGACCAGTTTGCGGTCACCAAATTTCCTGCCGACACCATTAAGCTTTGGGGGGAGAAAAGAAACATGGATCTTGGAAGATCCTTCCCTTATCTGAGGAGGGGGGGGAGAGATGGGGGCTGGGGGGAGAAAGTCTTATCCCCTTGAGGAGGGAATCTTTCAAGGCTACCCGTTTTGACCATTTTTTCCCCCTGAAAACAAGCATCTGCAGCCATTCAGGCAGGGGGGAAAAAATATATCCCCTCGCGTTAGGCTCGAAAATGGTGGACGTGATGCTTTACAGATAGTCCTCGACTTACGAATTTGGCGACTGTTCGAAGTTACCACGCCACTGAGAAAAGGGACTTTCGCCTGGTCCTCACACTTATGACTATCTCAGTGTGCCCCCCACGGCCACAAGATCAACATCCAGGCCCTACAGTTGCAATATCCCAGGATGATGGGATTCGCCACCTTGGGCGACCTTCGCAGCTGGCTTCCGACGAGCCAGATTCGTCGAATGACTGCTCGATTCATCTAACGACCGCATGATAGGGTCTCCTGCTTGAGCAGGGGGTTGGACTAGATGACCTACAAGGTCCCTTCCGACTCTGATTATCTGTTTATATCTGATTCGCTCAAACCCCACCCCACCCAAAAAAGGTGGGGAAATTGGACATGCCTTGCTTTTAACGACTTGCAGTGGAAATTGTGGTCCCATTTATGGTTGTTAAGTTGAGGACTACCTGTATCGCTTTCCCAGATGGAACAGCCCATCTACCCCGCCTTTTCCGGGGTTATATGCCAGCACTATATGAGCCCCAAAGAGCCCCTGACCCCTTCACCCCACCTCCCCCAATCCAATTTCTCCCCCAGCATCTTCTAACAATTGGGAAACCAGAGTGGGGCAGAAGAAGTGGGGTACAAGGTAGAGGAACAAGAGTCATTCACCCCATGCAGTTTGGGGTTGTTGTTTTTTTCCAAGAACCAGGTCCCAATATTGTCCAAAATGATCACAATCTACGAACCGGAAGACTAAAGTCTAAAGCGGGGTTTATCCGGTTTGGGGAGCCCATCAGATCCAAAATCAGAGAGTCGGGCGTTGTCTGGCAACCTGAGGACTCCCCCAAAACTTTGGCCATGTGGAGAACATCCCTCTGGATCTTCTGGACTCAACAATTCTGGACTCCGTGTTCCAAAGTCAGCATGGCAGTCCTTCAGCAGTTTTTATGATCCTCTTCGACAATTCCCGACCCCGATCAAATTTTAATTCCTTATTTATTTCCTTTTGCCATCTCGCAGCAAATTGCTTCCTCCCACTTCTGTTTGCAAGAAGAGGGTTGTTATTTTTTCCCCCCTTCCCTGGCCTGTTTTTGGGTGGATCTGTGCCTCTCTTCTTCTTCTTCTTCTTCCTCCTTCTTCTTCCTCTCTCTCTTGAGAAAGTCCTCTCCACCACCAAAGCCAAAGAATTAAAATAAGAGAATCCTCACCCCTCCCCCAAAAACGTACATTTAACAAATAAAATAATAATAATAATAATAATAATAACAATACAAGTTGTGTTGCTTTTTTAAAAAAAGAGAGAAAGATTCCTTTTTTTTTTTTGTGAAGACGAAAATGAAAAGACGAAAGAAAAAAAGGCACGAGGTTTTAGCAGAGAAGGGGGGGGGGCGGGAAAACGGAGTCGGCGCTTCTCAACAGTCCTGACTCCTTCCCCGGAGGGATCATTCGGACGTTTCCTCAAGTCCAACACCGATCTTTTTTTCTCAGCTACACCGGCAGGATTTGACGATCATGTTTGAAAGTTGTTCTACTTTGGCTTGTCGGCCGACATAGTAAATGATGCCCAGGGGCTCCAGCTCATCGGGGACACAACAAGGAGCAGCTGAGGCTGAGGGATTGTGAAGGTTGTAGAGAGCGAGGACCTGGGAGGAGGAGACAAGGACATCCTGCTTAGAGATGCGAGATTTCTCAGTTAACACAGCATCCAGTTTTGGTCCCCACGTCACAAGAAAGAGGCCGATGCTTTGGAAAAAGCGGGGCAGAGAACAGCAACTAGGATGATTAAAGGCTTGGATAACAGAGAACAGATAATCAGAGTTGGAAGGGACCTTGTAGGTCATCTAGTCCAACCCTCCCTGCCCAAGCAGGAGACCCTACACCATTTCTGACAGAAGGCAGTCCAATCTCTTCTTGAAGGTCTCAAGTGATGGTGCTCCCACAACTTCCGAGGGCAACTTCTGTTCCGTGGGTTGATTGTTCTCACTGTCAGAAAATTGCTCCTTGTTTCCAGGTTGAATCTCTCCTTGTTCAATTTCCATCCATTGTTCCTTGTCTGGCCTTCAGGTGCTTTGGAAAATAGCTTGACCTCCTTCCTCCTCTCCGTGGCAGCCCCTCAAATATTGGAAGGCTGCTCTCCTGTCTCCCCTGGTCCTTCTCTTCACTGGACTAGCCATGCCCAGTTCCTGTAACCGTTCTTCATATGTTTTACTCTCCAGTCCCCTAACCATCCTGGTTGCTCTTCTCTGCACTCTTTCTAGAGTCTCAATATCTTTTTTATAGTGTGGAGACTAAAACATATGAAGAACGGTGGCAGGAACTGGGCTTGGCTAGTCTAGAGAAAAGAAGGACTAGAGAGGACTTGATAATAGCAGCATCCCAGTGTTTGAGGCTTTGCCGCAAAGAAGAGGGAGTCCATTGATTTTCCAAAGCACCAGAAGGCAGGACAAAGAAAGAACGGATGGAAACTAATCCAGGAGAGAAGCAATCTGGAATTAAGGAGAAACCTCCTAACAGTGAGGACAATTAACCAGCGGAACAGCTTGCCACCAGAAATTGTGGGTGCTTCACCACCTTTAAGAAAAGACTGGACAGCTACTTGTCTGAAATGGTTATTCCATCCTTCTGAGGTCAATAAAATGAGGACCCAGATTGTTGGGGGCAAGAGGCTGACTCTGTAAATCGCTTAGAGAGGGCTGTAAAAGCCCCGTGAAGCGGCATATAAGTCTAAGGGCTATTGCTATTATAGGCCAAAATCCCATCCAGCTCTATTCTGAATTGAGTTGATTTTCGGAGGTTTGGTTTGATCTGGTGTGGTTTGGGTTGAGGGCCAAATGAAGATTTCGGCACAAGTCTGGACCACCCATCGTTTTTCTTCCCTACCCTCTTGAACCCAACTGGGAGAAAACAAGCCATCAATCTTGGCTGGTCAAATTCCAGTCACTTGCTCAACTTTTAGCTAATGCCTCCTTTGGAGGGAGGTGCCAAGCTGCAAAACTCACCACAGGGTGGCCTGGTTGTTGTTGTTTTTCATCCAAAGCCAGGGCATTAATTATCCTTCTTCCTTTATCAAAACAACCATAGTAGAAAAACAGGATTTTCCCCCCCTTTAAATTTCCCTAAAAACCCAACAAGGGTTTGACTGGCCAATAATTTGCAAATAGAGTTAGAAGTTTAAAAATGTTGGGTTCTGTCTCACAAAGGGGAAAGGGGAATTAATTTTTTTGCAATACATTTATCAATGAATGCAATTGTCATAAGTATGAATCAAGTTTCAGAGAGTCTACATTTTCGATCACATGACCACGGGGAACGCTACGAATGGTCGTAAGTGTGAAAAACGGTGGTGTCACAAGGCCAGTAATTTCTTCTAACAACCAGTTCTCCGAACTGCTTAGAATGTTAACAACCAGTTCTAGCAAATACGTGCAAACTGGCAGAATCCCACCCCTGCAAACCTCCCTCCCTTACAGGTGGTTGGATTCTACCAGTTCAGACCGGTTCAAGTGAACCGGAGGTTAAGTTTGCATCTAGAAATTTCACCGAACTGCTATTTGAACCAACCGGCTGGCCCCGACCACCCCACCCTTCCTCTCCCGGGAGTCTCCACGTGGCCCGTTTTCCATGCAGGTAAGTGCAGGGTCTGCACGGAGGCAGGAAAAATGGGCCTTCCAGGAATCCAGAAACAGGCCTGCTTCCGGCTTCCGGAAGGCCTCTGGAGCCCGGGGGAAGCCATTTTCCCCCTCCCAGAGGCCTGAGGGAAGCCTCCGGATTCTGGGGAAGGTGAAAAACGGCCCTCCCACCATGGCCACGCCCACCCAGCAACCAGGCAGCCAACCGGTTGCTTAGGTTTTTGAATCCCTCCCCTGCTCCCTTACCTTGCTGTACTGAGTGTCCGAGCTCCAGAGGTAGGGACAAGGCCCCATGCAGAAATTGGCATAGTAGCCTTTGGGTTCGTAGATCCACTTCCATTTTAAGTCTTTTCGGAAATCGATATAGAAACGCCGTACGCAGCAATTCTTCGCTTCCGCTGATCTAGGGAAAAAAGGAGCCCGAAAATGTCCTTAAGTCCTTTTGCTCTGAATTTGGGGACCTCCAATTTTCTGAATAGAATGGAGTGGAATGGAGTGGAATGGAATGGAATAGAACAGAACAGAATAGAAATAAAGTGGAAAGGAACGGAACAGAATAGAACAGAAATAATAATAATATAATATAATAAATAAAATATAATACAAATAAAATATAACATAATATTGTATAATATAGTAAAAATATAATATAATATAATACAAATACAGTATAATACAAATATAATAATAGAATAGAATAGAATAGAATTAATATAATATAATTAATATAATATAATATATAATGGAATGGAACGAAACAGAATAGAACAGAAATAATATAATAATAGAATGGAATGGAATGGGATGGGATGGGATGGGATGGGATACTTTGAGTAGGTCCATAAGCAATTGGTCTGTGGCGCAGAAGCTCTTGGCGTACATGCAAAACAACGGAGTAATAATGATCATAATAATGATACCATAAAGGGAAGGTAGCAGAAAAGATGAGAAGGCTAAGAGTAATACAGCCTTACTACTTTCGGAATTAGGTGTTCCGCTGTGTGATTGCACCAGGGGAAAAGATGTCTCTGTGTCTGATATATTCGATTGATCGATCGATCGATCGGTCGTTAAACTTGATCAATCAATCAAGTTTTAAAACAGCTGATGGGAAGCACTCAACCTGGTTGGAAGGCGGGATCAAGCGTAGAGTTAGCTTGGAGTCTCTGCGCAACCCCAAAAAGGGCTAGAGACGATGACCTTCCCAAAATTCCCCTGAACCTTATCTATTTGGAGGCTGCCAGCCTGGGGAAGATTCCTGTCCTAGAGGCAGAAGGTAATAAAGTACCGTGTTTCTCCTAAAACACAACCCACCCCAAAAAGAAGGCCCAGCACTGTTTTGTGCGCACGCCTTAAAATTAAGTCCTACTCCCCAAATTGGGACAGCTACCAGTAGCTGGCCGTTACAGGTAGGCAAAGGTGCGCGGGGCCCGTGGGGCGTGTCACTCGTTCCTTTTGGCCGCGAAAGAAGCGGCTCCGTGGCCAGGCGAGGCACGTGGGAGGGGAATTAAGACACCCCTCGAAAAGAAGGCCTAGCCGTTTTTTTCAAAAGAAAACAAGACCTGGTCGTATTTTTGAAGAAACGTGGTAGTTATCTGGAACTCTGGCCTGTCTGGGTCTGGCTGTTTACCCCTGAGAGCAACTTACTGGCTGCTGCAGAATTCTGCGTCTGGCGCGGCTCGTTTTCTCCGCTTGTGACTCGCGGAATCAGCCCGTTCTGGAGTGGTAGCCATGATCAAGAGGTACGGCCGATGTTTTGATCTCCCAGCTAATGAGCCCTGGTCCCCTCTTACGTCGGTGGTGCCTGCAAAGGGAAGGGGAGTCGTTGACTTGCCTTCTTCGCCAAGCGACCCAGGAGGGTCCATTGAATTGGGAATCTGTTGCGGCTTCCTAAAAACTCGGGCTGGGAAAAGTTTAGCGTTGACGCGTTTGGGAAGGGAAGGAAGGATTCCAAATTGCAGGTAGCCCCATGACTTTCAGCCGTTCATTGAGTGACCAAAGTTACAATGGCACTGAAAAAGGTGAGTTTATGAGCCAGTTTTTTTTTTTTTGTCACCCTTGCAACGGTGCTGGCTGGGGAATTCTGGGAGTTGAAGTTCCCTCCTCTTCAAAGGACCAAACTTGAGAAACAAGAGAAGGGGAAAAAAAATGAGGCTCTTTCCAAATTCCAGAAACGGCTCCTATATCATCCTGATCATCTTTTTGACCAAAACTTTCCTCTTAACTCCACACTCGGCCGTTACTCATACATTCTGAGAGCACATGATGCAATTTTGGCAGACACAAACCAAAGAGGCTTAATTTTCTTTCCCTCAAGGCCCCCCTACCCTGCTGCCCCCCTGCCCCCCCCCCCCCCCCCAGGGAGCAGAAGGTCAGTAATTACTTGCAAAAATCTGACCGAGGTTTCTGTAAGCCCGGAAGTCACCCAAGAGGATGCCTGTTGCCCCCCTGCATGACTCAAAACCTACAACTCAGCCACAAAGGTTGCTGGAGGAACGGCCGGCGAGAGGCGGAAACTGTGAGTCTGAAACAGGAAGGACAAATTGCTGAGCTCACCAGGGGTGTCTCTGTTCTAATTTGGGTGGAAATAAGGTGTGTTTTGGCAGCAACGTTCTTAAGAAAAGTGTGCATGTATGCCTGACATGGAGGACACCTATAGTGGGCTCTGTGCATGGCCGCCATCTTGATGGCCAGGGTCCTGTGCAGAATTTCGGTCACCCTGATGGAAAAAAAAGATGTTGAGATTCTGGAAAGAGTGCAGGGAAGAACAACCAAGATGATTAGGGGGCTGGAGGCTAAAACTGGGAAAAAAGGTTGCAAGAATCGGGTATGTCTAGTTTAATGAAAAGAAGGACCAGGGGAGACATGATAGCAGTCTTCTAATATCTGAGGAATTGTTCCAAAGGTGCTTTTCAAAAGACAACTGGATTTTCTTAGTTGTTTTTTTTTTTAAGTTTCGCTTCTCATCCATGAATGGAATAATTGAGTCTGTCATCTGCACCTCTATAACTGCGACCCAACAGGACAGACACAGACTTCAGAGGATAATTAGGACTGCAGAAAAAACAATGGCTACCAACCTGCCTTCCATGGAGGACCTCTATACTGCACGAGTCAAAAAGAGGGCTGTGAAAATATCTATAGGCCCCTCACATCCTGGACATAAACTGTTTCAACTCCTACCCTCAAAACAACACTATAGAGCCCTGCACACCAGAACAACTAGACACAAGGGGAGTTTTTCCCCGAAAGCCACCACTCTGCTAAACAAATAATTCCCTTAACACTGTTCAACTATTTACAAAGTCTGCACTACTATTACTATTAACCTTCTCTTCACTCCTTATCACCCATCCCCTCCCACTTGTGACTGTATGACTGTAACTTTGTCACTTGTATCCTTACAATTTATATTGACTGTTTCCTAGTATGATTTGATTGCTTATTGTACCCTATGACTGTTATTAAATGTTGTATCTAATGATTCTTGATGAATGTGTCTTTTCTTTTATGTACACTGAGAGCATTTGCACCAAGACAAATTCCTTGTGTGTCCAACCACACTTGGCCAATAAAGAATTCTATTCTATTCTATTCTTCTGACCGAAAGGTGGAGGATGGAAGGATTTATATTCCTTGCAGTCCTCTGGTCGTTAGCACTCTTCCTGAGAGTTGTTGAGGCCACTTGGAGGTTGATCTGTGCCCTCAGGGTCACCTCAATAGTGCAAATGGGTGCGGTGCCTTCTTGGACCTGGTGAAAGGATTGTGTTGTAAACAGGAGGTGGCTGGGGTCCCCCTCTGTTTGAGGGACAGCCGTTCAATCTTAATGTAGATGTCCTCTTTGACCCCGCACTCTCAGGAAGAGCACTAACGACCAGAGGACCGCAAGGAATATACATCCTTCCATCCTCCATCATTCAGTCAGAACTGAAGAAGCTTCTTGGATGAGAAGCAAAACGTCTTCAAGAAAAGAAAAAAAAACAAGAAAGTCCAGTTGCCTTTTGAAAAAAAAAAAGCACCTTCCATACAACCTTTGACCTGGACAATTGAGAATCTCCACAGACATTGGAGGGGCTGTCACAGAGAAGAGGGAGTCAACCTAATTGTCCAGACGCATCTGAGGGCAGAAGAAAAAAAGAGACGGGTGGAAACTAACCAAGGAGAGAAGCAATCTAGAACTCAGGAGAAATTTCCTGACCGTGAGAACAATTAACCAGTTTGCTGCTCCAACACTGGAGGTTTTTAAGAAGAGATTGGGCAACCACTTTGTTCGGAATGGTATAGAGCCTCCTCCTTGAAAGTGGGGCGGGGTTGGACTAGAAGACCTCCAAGGTCCCTTTCAACTCTGTTATACTGTTAACTTTCTTTTAACTGACCTAACTCTGTCAGTGGGACAAGCTGGGCCAATATGCACAGTTTTCAGCAATCCTTGTAAAAGGGATTCTCAGCAGGCTGTATCGCATGGTGTGTGTGTGTGAGAGAGACTCACACACACACACACAGACGCACACCTGAGTCACTGGGCTTGGCACAGCTCGTATACACATCCCCCCTGCCAGCCTCTCCACCCCACAAAATTTTGGGCTGAAAGAACGGCCGGCATCAGAAGGAGGAAGTCAGCGGAGCCAATTTCCCAGAAGAAAAATGGACAGTGTGAGTTGATATTTCTCCAGCGTGACGTTTTTGCAGGCAGCGGCAATGTGCAAAAGTGGGGTTAGGCATCCAGGGGGAAGGCAGGTGAGGCCTCTGGTCAGGGCCTGAGTCTCTCCACTCCCTCCCCCCCACCCACATTAGGCCAAAGATTTTTATCTTCTGAATGCCGGGGGTGTGTTTCTTTCCTCCCACCCCCTTCCATTCTCTGCAAATTATCCTTCGCCTGGATGAGCCGCTGCTGCAATGTGCTCTGTGAATACAGTGCGCGCATTGATGCGTCCCACACTGGCTCACAAACTTCTGTTTACAAAGCAGGAGGACTGGAGTCCTCTAACAGGCTAGGAAGCCTGGCTTGGCGGGGGTTTGATCCTGCCTGCTGGGCAGCCCTGACCCTTGCGGCTTTTAGCGTCCACCACAGCTTTAGCCTACGGGGCTGCATTGAGAGCCTTCCTTTCCTGGCTCCAATGTCACATCCCCGTCAGGGATGTTGTAGAGATAATCCCTCCATCAGAGTCGAGGCGGAAGGGACCTTGGAGGTCCTCCAGTCAACCCCCCTGCTCAAGCAGGAGACCCTATACAATTTGACACAAGGGTCTCTTCTTAAAAACCTCCACCCACAACTTCTGGTGGCAAGCGGTTCCACTGGTTAATTGTCCTCCCTGTTAGGAAGTTTCTACTTCATTCCAGGTTGCTTCTCTCCTGGATTAGTTTCCGTCCATTCTTTCTTTGTCCTGGTGCTTTGGAAAATAAATTGACCCCCACTTCTTTGTGGCAGCCCCTCAAATATTGGAATACTGCTATTATCATGTCCCCTGTAGTCCTTCTTTTCTCCAGACTAGCCAAACCCAAATCCTGCCACCGTTCCTCATATGTTTTAGTTTCCAGGCCTTTAATCATCCTAGTTGCTCTTCTCCGCCCTTTTTCCAAAGTCTCGACATTCTATTTTGTAACGTGGTGACCAAACCTGGTTGCAAATATTCCAGATCTGGCCTTACGAAAGATGTATAAAGTCTAAAAAGACTTTATAAAAACATATAAAGTCACTTTTTTTCCCTCCTTAGTTCTAAGTTGCTTCTCTCCTTGATTAGTGTCTATCCGTTGCTTCTTGTCCTGCCTTCTGGTGCTTTGGAGAATAGCTTGACTCCCTCTTCTTTGGGGCAGCCCCTGAGATATTGGAAGACTGCTATCCTGTCACCCCGCTAGTCCTTTTTTTCTCTAGACTGGCCCAACCCAATTCCTGCCACCGTTCTTCATAAGTTTTAGTGTCCACACCTTTAATCATCCGAGTTGCTCTTCTCTGTACTTTTTCCAAAGTCTCAGCCTCTTTCTTATAACATAGGGACTAGAGGTTTGGATCAGCAGGTTTGGACCAGTTCTGGAGAACCAGTAGCAGAAATTTTGAGTAGTTTGGAGAATCGGCAAATACCACCTCTGACTGGCCCCACCCGATCTATGCTGATCGGCTGGGTCTCCTTTGGTTGCCCTGCCCAGGAGAACGGAGCTGGAAAGCAGGTTAGTGGGGTGGGGAGGGAAGGGGGATTTTGTAGTATCCTTCCCCTGCCGCGCCCACCAAGCCACGCCCGCAGAACCAATTTTTGAATCCCACCACTGGGCGGGGGGTGGTCAGGTGAGATCTTCAAGTGGGTGCAGCACCCCCCCCCCCACTCATCCCAAGCCCACTCCCCCTTGCCCAGTCCTTACCTTCAATTTGTATTGATAGATCACTTCGTACGTCATCGCAGGAACAGTGAGTGCTCAGTCGGAATCTTCCCACATTGTCTGAAACACAAACATTAGGATTGGGTGGGTGGGTGGGGGTCAGGACTGCAACCCTTCCCGAAGCCAGTGAGCCCCGTTTCAGAGAAGCCCCTCGCCCCCAAAGCAGAACCGAAGTGTGCTGAAAGCCAAAAGAGCCTTTTGCTCATTTCAGGAGAATTTTTAATTGGACGTCTCTTTCCAGCTTTGGAGCAGGGTGGCATATATCATATTCTCCAAGGTTTTTCAAACTTGGCCATTTTTAGATGGGTGGACTTCGACTCCCAGAATTCCACAGCCAGCATCCTTTAAATTGGATGGACTTCAACTCCCAGAATTCTCTAGCCAGCATCCTTTAAGATGGGTGGACTTCAATTCCCAGAATTCCCCAGCCAGCATCCTTTAAATTGGATGGACTTCAACTCCCAGAATTCTCTAGCCAGCATCCTTTAAGATGGGTGGACTTCAATTCCCAGAATTCCCCAGCCAGCATCCTTTAAACTGGGTGGACTTCAACTCCCAAAATTCTCTAGCCAGCATACTATAAGATGCATGGATTTCAGCTCCCAGGATGACCCAGCCGGATACTTTAATATAAGTGGACTACAACTCCCAGGACTCTCCAGCCAGTATACTTTAAGATGGGTGGACTTCAACTCCCAGAATTCCTCAGCGGGTAGGTTTTAAGAGACGTGGACTTCAACTCCCAGAACACATCGGAATTCACCAGAATTCTGGGAATTGAAGTCCCTCCCATCTCAAAGCTACTACGTTTGAGCCACCCTGCTTTGTTGGCCAACAGGATTCTGAAAATTTGCTCTACCTTTTCACTGGCACAAAAGAGAGTCAATCCCCCGGTGCTCCCCCCCCCCAGTCATGCCCCCCTTCCTTCCACCCTACCTCTACTCGCAAGCCACAAGCGGAGGACATTGGTGACGTCGAAGGACAGCCATTCTTTTTCGCTCTTCACCTTTACCGACAGCCCTTGAAGGTAGTACCAAGTGGAATCATTCCCTGAGTGGTGTTTTTGCTAAGGGGAGATGGACAAATGCGTGAGGGAACAGCTTCTGTGGAAAAATTTGCCCAGCCTGACAAAATCCCCTAGCCTGCTTTCTCTCATCCAGCTTTCGAGCTTTCGCTTTTAAAAGAACAAGGTTCGAGTCTTCCAACCATTTTGGGTGCTGTTTTTCTGCCCTTGGGGGCGGAGCCAGAAATGGTACTCACAGGTCCTGACCAGTTCTGGAGAGCCAGTAGCAGAAATGCAGCCCCTTCCCTTCTGGGAATCCAGACTACAGTCTACCACAGTAACTTCGAATGATCACTAAAAGTTTACCTCAAAGACTAGCTGTGCTCTGGGAATTGTTGAGGAGGAGCTGTCCTCACCCTCTTTCTCCCACACCAACTCTCCAAGCTTCGCTGTCTCTTGCTCCCCCGGAATGCAGCCCCTCCCTTCTGGGAATCCAGACTACAGTCTACCACAGTAACTTCGAACAATCACTAAAAGTTTACCTCAAAGACTAGCTGTGCTCTGGGAACTGTTGAGGAGGAGCTGTCCTCACCCTCTTTCTCCCACACCAACTCTCCAAGCTTCGCTGTCTCTTGCTCCCCCGGAATGCAGCCCCTCCCTTCTGGGAATCCAGACTACAGTCTAACCCACCCTTACCTGGTAAAGCTCCAGTCGCTGCTCTTGCCCACGTCCCGAGGCTTGCATCCTCAGCTCTGCCCGGTAGAGCAAGTTGGGGTCAGTAACGGCTTTCCGGATAGGTTCAATTTCGAATGCAAAGTAGACGTTTTGGTCATCCTTCTTGTACTGATTGCCGTCGCTGTCTAGAGAAAGGAGACAGGAAGGAAGGACAGCAGATTAGCGGAAGGTCCTTCTACGCTGGCCCCTGTTCTGACCTAGGCTTCCTCAGAAAGCATAAAACGCTACCTTAGTCCGGGCAAAACCTATTTCCACGGCTGTGAATTACATTCATGCACAGCTGCCCCCTTGATTTTGTTTGTCAGAAGGCCGCAAAGGGGGATGGCGTACTCTCCAGGAAGCTGCGACCGTCATAAATACGAGTCGGTTGCCCTGAATTTTGCGTGCATGAATGCAGAAACATGTATTACGTGTGAAGAATGGTCATATGTCACTTTTTTCAGTGTCGTCGTAACTTGAAATGATCACTAAACGAACTGTTGTAATAAGAAAACTACTTATAATCAGGAAGATTCCTAACCTCCTAACCTTGTAACCCCGCTCAGCAGAATCAGCAAATTAATCAACAGGTTTTATATTCAAGATATGAGCTCAGCTCTATGGGTCAGGCCCGGTTGTATGACCTCTGGGGCTCAGCTGTTTTCAGAAGGCTGGTTCATCCATCCATCATCCATCCATCCATCCATCATCCATCCATCATCCATCCATCCATCCATCCATTCATCATTCATCCATCCATCCATCCATCAATTTATCCATCCATCCATCCATCCATTCATCCTCTATCCATCCATTATCCACCCACCCATCCATCATCCACCCATCCATTTATCCATCCATCCATCCATCATCCATCCATCCATCCATCCATCCATCCATCATCTGTCCATCCATCTATCCATCATCCATCCATCCATCTATCCATCCATCATCCATCCATTTATCCATCCATCCATCCATCCATCATCCATCCATTCATCCTCCATCCATCCATCCATCATCCATCCATTATCCATCCGTCCATCCATCTATCCATCATCAATCCATCCATCATCCATCCATCCATCCGTCCATCATCCGTCCATCCATCCATCCATCCATCATCCATCCATCATTCATCCATCCATCATCAATCCATCCATCATCCATCCATCATCCATCCATCATCCATCCATCCATCATCCATCCATCCATCCAGTCAAACTGGAGGATTTCCATAAGACCTTCACCAACTGAACTTAACCTCATTTTATTTTACTTTTTTGCCTGTATGACTTCGTCACAGCATCTATTTCAGATACAGGAAGAGTCTATTTTTAAAGTTTCTCTTCCTTGGGAGATCAAAGGAGCTTTGACTTTTGGTCAACGAGACAGAGACCACGGGTTGTGTTTTTGTTTTGTTTTGTTTTTTTCAAGTTTCTCTCCAAGTCTCCAACCACAGCATTCAGGACTGTGTGTTTCTCAAAAAAATATGCACCGTCTTCCGTTGCAAACAAACAGGACACAGCAATTTGCAGAAAACAAAGATAGAATCCAGGGCGAGGAAATTGGAAGGAAGAAAGGAAGAGAAGCTTCAGAGGAGGAAAAACAAAAACAAAAATCTTGTGGTTCTAATGAACGAGAAGGGAGCAAGAAAAAAAGAGAGAGAGAAGATAAAGAAAAAGAAAGAAAGAGAAGTAAGAAGATAAAGAAAAAATATAAAGAAGAAAGAGAAAAGAAAGAAAGGATAGAAAGAAAGAATATAAAGAAAAAGAAGAAAGTAAAAAAGAAAGAAGAAAGGAAGGAAAAGGAGGAGAAAGAAGATAGAAAGAAGGAAGATAAAGAAAAAGAAAGAAAGAAAGAAAGAAAGAAAGAAAGGGAAAGAGGAAAGAAGGAGGAGAAAGAACATAGAAAGAAGGAAGAGAAAGGAAAGAAAGAAAGAAAGAAAGAAAGAAAGAAAGAAAGAAAGAAAGAAAGAAAGAAAGAAAGAAAGAAAGAAAGAAAGAA